GGAAAGGCTTCAGAAGTGGGGGGTGCAGGACATGAGGGGGAGTTGGGGGGGGGGGCATTGGCTGCTGTGTGAGAGGAGCTCCAAGGTAGGGTAGCAGGAGGGCTGTGGCAGGAGGGCTGTGGTAGGTATTGAGGGGGATTGGCAGATCTGGGAGGAGAACCCAGAGGATTGTGGGTCAGGATTGAGAAGGCCATTGATAGAACCATGGAGAGGGGGAGTCGGGTTGGGATTAAGGGGCATTGGCAGAGCTGGGGGGGGAGGGAGTGGAGCCCAGCCTGGGAATGCATGCGGCTGCAAGCCAGGACTGAGGAGCACCCGAAGAGCTGTGTGTGAACCCAGAACTGCATTGTTAGCTAGTGCCAAGCTCCCCTGATCTTTAGCACTGGAACTCCTTCAACACCAAGGGCAGCCCTCTCTGTGAAGCCCTAGCATCTCTGAGAGCAGCTGGCTTCTTCTGTATCTCTGAACCCTGGCTCCAGCCCTCAGCTGAAGCCCAAACTGGGCTTGAGTGAAATGTGTTGCTCAGCGTGGGGCTCTGGGACTGGTGGGTGGCAGCTGGTAGAGCATCACAAAGGCAGAGGCTCTAGGGACAAGGTTTGTGACTAATAAACATCCTTGTTTAAGTAGCAATTGGGCTGGCTGCTGATTATTTTGTTTCTGCCTCAGTCCCTGGTTCCCTGCCAGTCAATGAAGATGACCTGCTGGCTTTGCGTAGGGGCTTCTCTTTGAGCAGCCACAGACCCTGACATCTTCTCCCCGCTGATCTCAGGCTGCTGAAGGAACCATCCCTCCCCTCCCACTTTGCACACAGAGCAAGTGGTGGGGCTGCTTGCTTCGGGGGTTGGACAACAGCCCAGGAGTTAGAAACAACTGGGTTTAATTCCTAGCTCTGCTGCAGACTGCTGGTGTGACCTTGGGCAGGTCATTTGGGCTCCACCATCTGTACAATGGGGATAATAGCACATCCCTGCCTCACAATGGGGAGGGGGAAAGGAGGGGAGGCTTTAAGGCACCCAGATGATGGCAATACCTGGCTCTTAGCAGATCTCAGATCACTTTATGAAGCAGGTCAGAATCATCACTCATTCAGGGGACTCTGAAGCACAAAGAAGGAATGTGACTTGCCCAGGGTCACCCAGGAGGTCTGTGGCAGAGAACCCCACTCTCCAGAGCCCTAGTCCAGTGAATTACCCCCCTAGGCCACACAGGCTCTCCTAATGGGGAAACACAGTTCCCAGGCTATGGGTGTGGTCCTAGAATGGGATCTGCCTCTAATGACCTTCCCTATTCCTCATTTTCTCTTCAAAGTACTTGCAGCTCCTTAATAGAGCCCGAAAGCAGGAATCCTTCCCAGCACTGAGCTGAGATGTGTGTGCTATTAGGGGAAAAGAGTGGGATAGCTCTGGTGGAATGAAACCAGCCAGGCAAAAGGGTGTTCTCACATCAAACTGCTACAGCCAGATTCTCACACCATAGCTCCTTTGCCCCCTCCAGTAAAGGGATCATGTAGTGGGTGTAAATTACATTGTTAAAGCAGAGAGTAAAGGTGCCTTAGGCCCAGATCCTCAAAGGTATTTCAGCCCATAACTTCCATTGAAGGTAATGGAACCTGAATGCCATAGAGGATAGGGGCCTTATACAGGCCTAGCCTGAAACTTGGTGCTCACCTCAGACTCTCAGAATTGAGATCTGACAGGTGGCATATCTGGTACCTGTTACTTTGCAAAGAGATATAACTCCACTGGTGGGTTGTGTGTGTCTGGGGCAACAAAGAACTCCCTCTACTAAACCTGTGTTCCTTTCACATTGTTCTTTAAGCTAGAAGCCCCTGTAGCTAGATGGGTGTGGGCATGTGGGAGGAAGAGGTGTAAGCAACTAGTGACTGCTGCACTGCTTTTGGGGCTGAGAGTAGCCAGGCTGCACCCTAGAGACCCAGCAACAGGGACTAGTCTCTTCTCAGACCCAAGGGGGTTAGAAGCTTGTGGGACACAGGATTGGGTCCACTTTCAACAAATTACATACAAAAGGACTGGGCTTGGCCTATTTAAAGCAGTACCATGCTGCACTCCTCCAGTTGGATGCAGTCAGAGAGGTATAGCAGTTCTGAGCTGTTCCCTACAGCAGTGGTGGATAACCTGTGACCTTGGGGCCGCATGTTGCTCATCGGGTTCTGTGTGTGGCCCACAAGATATTTTTCTTTACAGTTTTTCATTCATGGGGTTGTCCGCTAAGTTCTGTCTGCCTAGCTTTTTTCCTACTGGTATTACTAAAGCGATATGCATATAATCAAAGCGCTGTTACGGTTCAATCAGCACACGAGGTACACAAGCACAGTTAGCAAAACTACCGTAGCCCAGGAGACCATCCTGGGTACAACAATCTTGTGGCCCATTGAGATGGAGGGCCTGAATGGCCCCCACACTAGCCTAGGTTGCCCATTGCTGCTCTACAAGAAGGGGAGTAAGCTATAGCAGCCTCGGGTGCCTTTTTACCACTATCACTATGATCACTGGGGGTTGTGTCCTATATTTGCCAGTTTCCCTCTCCCAGCTGACAGTCGTAATGGAACAAACTGAAGCAAACAACAATTGGGCCCTTCGCCTTTTGAGGAGAGCAATGTGATCTCATTGCTACCTGGGACGAGTTGAATAGAGAAATAACTTCTCCCAAAAGCTTATTGGTGATTAATAAAGTCAGTGCCCTCCTAGATACTATTTCCTACAACATTGTTTACTTTAGTTGCCAGTAGCCTCATTCCCCTTAGGAAAGCAAAAGTGTCGGGGTTATTTTTGTTTAACTTTCTATTGACTGGCGTTCAGTCTTACAACATTGTATCAATGCCAGTGATGCAGAGAACTTCCAGCTCGTGTTGTCTTCATATCAGTGGGGAGCTGCTCTGTACTTTGGAAAAGCAGGTCACTTCCCCTCTCTCCAGGCTCACTCCTGTGCAGGGTTGAAGGACCGGTTTCTTTCTTACTCCTGAGGGTTGGACCCTGTGGAGGTAGGCAGAGGGTGTTTGCTCATTTGCTCAGGTAAAGGGGACTTTGCTCTCCAGAGGTCATACTCCACTATCACCTGCTAGTATGACATTCAGTCCCAGAATGGTGACACCAGTTTTCTCACTGATCAAATAGTTCAGTCTGTTCTATAGGCAAGGGAGACTTGGCGGTGACAGTGAAGTGAAGAATGGCTGCACATCTCCCTGCTGTTGGTTACTTGTACTGAATTTGTGTTTCTCTGCTCACCACCTTCAATAGCTGCCTGGTTGTGCTGCAGCACTTCTAGTAGAGAGTTGCAGAAGCATTTGCACACATTGCATAGCACCAGCTAGGTGCTTTGCAGCTGTTGCAGCACCCTCTCCTTTCAGTAATAGATAGCTAAACTAAGGATGTTAAGTAACCGTTAATTTACTAGTCAAGTAATCAATGGAATTTCCATCGACTAGTCAATAGGCACTTTTTGCGTTTCTCCTTTGAAATGTACAAGAGCCCCCCGCTGGGGCTCTTGTACATTTCAAAGGAGGAATGTGGAACTCTGGGGCTGCAGGCAGCATGCCAGCTGTGACATGTACAAGAGTCCCCAGTGGGAGCTCTTGTGCATTTCAAAGTGGCAGCGCAGCATGGAGCCGGGATCAGCTGTGCAGTGCTGCTGCTTTGAAGTACCTCCTTTGCTGCCTCTATCTGGTCGACTATTCCTTAACATCCCTAATCTAAACATAGTATATCATCCACCAGCTATGCAAGTAATGGGTGCTTTGCAGAATCAGCACCCCATAGCAGTCCTTACCCCCAGTGTAATGTGTACAGAAGCTCTGAGCTGTGATTGCGGAAAGTCAATCTTCAGTAACATGGGAGACATTAACACCGGTGAAAACAAAGGTGCCATTGCCTGTCTTAAGGGATCTGGTGTGCAGGAGGCCCTGCTTTCAATAAGGATGGCCGGTTTGCTCTTAGCTCTATCTCCAGAATCTGCATCAAAATAAACACAAAGCTGTGCTATGACAAACTGGGCCCAGACATGGCCAAGCCACCAGTGCATCTTCTCTCCTGCACTGGGATCTGTGCTGCCTGCAGAGATGGCAGGAACCCAGCTGGTGGGGTCAGGGCCAGTAGCTGCTAGCCTGGCTGTTGGGGGTGCACTGCTGCTTAGCTGATTCTTCCACCTACAGTCTCTCACAGCCCCCACAGCAGCAGTTTGCTTTCACCCTTGGCTGGTCACCTGGCTTCGAAGGGGTCCCATCCAACTGTCCCATTTTTAGCTTGGCTAGTTTTCCCTACCGACTTGTAAATGAACCCCTTTGAGGGGTTGTAGTACCACTCTCCGCCCGTAGGTGACGCTGTGGGCCAGCCGATGGTCCGCCCTCTCTGTGATTCCTGGGGTTAGCGTCTGTGATTTCAGTCCCGACGCCTAGGTGGCGACGTGGGAAAATCTAGCCCAGTGAGGATTTCTCCTGGTGGCAGGGCTTGCTCTCGTTGGTTTTCGGCAAGGGCGGGACTTGTAGTGAGTGTACCCAATAGTGATCAGATCCATGATGATTGGCGGCGACGTAGCCCAATGGACGCTGGTTGTGGGAAGCCGGTGCCGGACGGGGCGGAAGAGGCGGCTGGTTTGCTGGTGATGGGGCTGCTGACTATCCTGAAGAAGATGCGACAGAAGGAGCGGGAACTGCGGCTTCTCATGCTGTATCCTTGTGCAAGGGGAGGGTGGGCTGTACCAAACGTTGCAGGATAAAAGGGGCTTTTAAGTGCGAGCGGCGATGGTTGTACCAAGATTTTGTGGGAGGCGGGTTTCCAATGGGGCTATACCAAGGGTCGGGGGAGAGGTGTATCCTGTGGGGCTGGGGGGTTGGGCTGTACCAAGGGCTGGGGGAGGGGTGTGCCCTGTGGGATTGGACTGTACCAAGTATTGTGGAGGGGTGTAACCTGTGGGGCTGGGGGCTAGGCTGCACAAAAGGTTGGGGGGGTGTCTTGTGGGCCTGGGATCTGGGCTGTACCAAGGGTTGGGGGTAGGGGTGGGAGAGCCTGGGCTATACCAAGGGTTTGAGAGGAAGGGATGTATCTGATCTGGGCTGTACCAAGTGTCCTGGGTAGGTTCTCTATGTTGTGGGTAGGGGGGTGGGATGTACCAGCTGTCCTGTATTCAGTGAATACAAAGAGGAGTGTACCAAAGGGTGATGGATGGGGGAGTTTCCTAGGAGTTTCTTTTTTATGGGTTGAGCCACCATCCAGCTGTGACACGAATGTCCCACCTCCCCCATGTACTGAGCTGCCTTCTCCTTGACACATTTTCCACAGTGGTCTGGACAATGCTGGCAAAACCACCATCCTGAAGAAGTTCAACGGGGAGGATATCGACACCATCTCACCCACACTGGGCTTCAACATCAAAACCCTGGAGCACAGGGAGTGAGCGCCGGGCAGAGTGTCTGATCCATCCATGGGCCCAAAACCTGCCCCTCCCATCCATCCCTTGAACAGGATTGTCCCTTCTAAGTCTGATCCTTGCCCTCTCCCCAGACTGCAAACCCTCAACCTCTGCCCAGACCTAGTTTCAAATCCCCTTAGCCACTGGCAGTAGCACTGTGGAAAAGGATCTTGAGGTTTCAGTGGATTACAAATTGAATAATCAAATAAATTGAATAATACAAATTGAGTTAAAATGTGATGCAGGTGTAAAAGGCCTAATATTATTCTGGGGTGTATTAACAGGAGTGGTGTATGTAATTCAAAAGAGGTAATGGTTCCACTGTACTCTGGAATACTGTGTCCAGCTCTGTTAAGGGCTGCTCTAAAGAGGACTGTCATCAGTTGTCTTGCCTTCAGTGGACATGGATAACAAGAAGCAACAGGCTTAATCTGAAGCAAGGGAGAGTTAAGTTTGATATTACAACATTTTTTTCTAACTATAAGAGTAGTTAAACTGTGGAATAGGCTTCCAAGGGAGGTTGGGAAATCACCACCAATGGAACTTTTAAAAAAAGAGGTTGGCCAAACACCTGTCTGGAATGGTCTAGGTTTGCTGGGGGCCTAGCAACAGTGCAAGGGGCTGGACTTGATGACAATCACCACCAATGGAACTTTTTAAAAAAGAGGTTGGCCAAACACTGTCTGGAATGGTATAGGTTTGCTGGGGGCCTACCAACAGTGCAAGGGGCTGGACTTGATGACTTTTCAAGGGCCTTTCCAACCCTACAGTTCTGTGATTCTATACCACACCCTTGATTTCACTGCCTAATAAACTCTGGTCTCCAGCCAGTTCTGTATTCTTTACTCCAAGTTCTGTACAGAGATACCTCACAGTTCCTGCTCCCCCTTGAGCTTAACCCTTTGGATTATGGGGGTGTGGTTCTTCTGCCCCCACAGGCTTACCTAAAGCAAGATGAGGTTCTCCAAATCACCAGCTCAGCCCCTTGCTCACTTTCTGTGGTTCTTAAGGAATTTGGAGCCAGGAAGGTATGGTCTCCTCACAGCCAGCCAGATACAGAAGAAACATCCCCTCCTTCGTCCAGGATGCCTGTTCCATATTACATACTGGGATCTTGCCTGATTGTCCCTTTACCTCCATACTCTGTCTTTTTTCTTCTGTTCCCCAGCTTCAAACTGAACATCTGGGATGTGGGAGGCCAGACATCCCTGCGCTCCTACTGGCGCAACTACTTTGAGAGCACAGATGGTCTCATCTGGGTGGTGGACAGTGCTGACCAGCAGCGCCTGCAGGTCTGCAAGCAGGAGTTGCAGAGCCTCCTGGTGGAAGAGGTGGGAACTGCACCTGTGGAGGAAAGGGGGAGGAGGGTGTGCCAAGTGTCTTGGAGAATGGGCAGATGTATCCTGTGAGGGAAAGGAGGTGGAATATATGCAATAGGTTATATGAAGTCCCTTGGAGAGGGGGTATATTTTTTGGGCACTATCCTGTGGGTGGGTGGGCCAGCTTCTGGCTGAACCAGGCTTTGGTTTGGGCTGCCAGAGGGGCCTGGTTTGGTGCAGGTCTGCTGGAAGCAGGGCCTGCCTCTGCTGCAGAGAGGATCCTTGTCCCCCTGTTTCCAGGTCTTTCAAGACTCAAAAACAATCCCTGTCTGGGACAGAGCAGGAGAACTGTGGTCCAACTGCTAACTGACTGGGAGGGTGGTTGAAGGGTTAACAGGAGAATGGTGGGGCCAAGACAACTGGGCCATGCAGCTTAGCCTGTGCTTCTCTCCCTACAGCGCCTGGCTGGAGCCACCTTGCTCATCTTCGCCAACAAGCAGGACCTGCCAGGAGCACTGTCTTCCAATGCCATTCGTGAGGTAAGAGCCACTGGCCTGAAGCAAACTAGGGATCTTGGTCAAGGGACATGGACATAGGTACAGGGTTTTGGGCCTAGTGTCCCCACTGCTGTCCCCATGTCAGGGCACCAGTCCTGTGCCCAGGGGCCCCAGCCTGGGTCAGTGAGGGGCATGGACGGATAAGAGTGAGGGCACTGCTCAGCACCCCTGCTCCCTCTCCCCTCCCCCCCCAAAAAAAATGTGTTCCAGCACCACTGGGAGTGGGGTTTGTTGGTTGTAGGGTAGGGTGGGGAGGGACTGGAGTCAGCTCTTCTCTTCCCAGCTCTGGAAGGGGAATGGAGTAGAAGAGTTACGCCAGATGAGTGGCTGCCTCAGCTCCTGGTTTGTCTCCAGTTGATCATTGACTCACTGTATGATCTTTCTTCTCTCTGTGCCACAGTTGTACCAGGTTGCGAGTAAGGGAGGGAGCAGGGGTGGGGTGTGTGCTAGTGTTGGGAGATGTGGGCTGAGGACAGGTTTGGTCTCAGCTCAGTCAGGTAACTCAGTATCATCTTGTCTCCCCTTCAGGCCTTGGAACTAGACAGCATCAAAAGCCACCATTGGTGCATCCAGGCCTGCAGTGCCTTCACTGGGGAAAACCTGCTGACGGGGATCGACTGGCTCTTGGATGATATTTCCAGCCGGATCTTCACGGCAGACTGATCATGCCTCAGACATGGCCCCCCTCCTCCTTGAGGGCTGGATCCAAGCTTTGAACAGCTCCCATCATGCTTTCCTCCAGCAGTCAGTCACCGGGACAGCAACTCCCCTTGGACTAAGTCTGGATCCCAAATGTCCCCTGGATTGGCACAGAGCTTAGTACCCCTGACCCAAAGGCCTGGGTCTTCCACATGTGTTTCAGGGTTTGAGCTCTAATGCTGGCAATTGCCCTAAATGATGGGGCAAGCTGGGGAACCTCAGGAGCCAGATCGTTTACAGTGTGGGGAGTGGTGGCAATTCCCCATCATTGAAGCACAAGGCCTGTTGAACTGTGTACACGGATAGGACTGGCAGAAAGGAATTCCTCTTCCCCCCCCTCCCCCTCCCAACTCTCCCCAAATAACCCTGCCTGTACGAAATATTCACATTTTTCATTTCTCGCGCTAATAAAATCAGTGGCCTGTAGTCTGCTGTGTCTGGGTTCATTGACTCTGTGTGGGTTGCCTTGCACTTTTGGCTTATGTCACCAGGTTCCTCAGAGAGATGAACTTCTTTTAGGGATTGCTCCACATGTCCAGCAACTGCATCTGTTTCTCACAGACGAGTTGCAGCCTCAGCCTAGTTGCTGATGGGGGCAGAAGTACTCGAGGTTGGGGAAAGGGTCTGCAAGGCTCTCCCTTATCCTCCCACTCTATCCTGAATTCTCTGTTGTTTTAAGCAATGAAAGATTCACTTCCTGTTCTTAACTGTTACTAGGAGCTATTAAACAGCCCCCTCTGTCCCAGTCTCTGGTGTCTGCATCTCAGAGCCAACCAAAGGAGCACTGAATAAACAGCCCCTGCTCCCTACCACAGGCAGCTACATCTCAGCACTATATGAGGGATCCCTGTAGTAGCAGCACTTGTACCCCACCCCAGAGGCAGCACATTTTAATGATTGAGATAGTTTAATAATTCACCTCTTTCCAGTGCATATAATCTCCTTTTGCTTTGCAAACTCTGTACCCGCCTTCCCCCCCCCCCCCCGCCTCCTTCTGGCATAGCACCTTTGGGGTGGAGCAGGGATAGCAGAGCCATGAGAGGTGCTATTTTGACCAAGATCCCCGAGGCAGTGGGAACTTTTGGGATGCCTCAAATATGGCCTCTGGTCAGTTTTGTCCATACAAAGATGGCAGAACCTCAGCTTTAAGATATCCCTCAGTGCCAACCTGCGTGGGCTGGAGCACCTGCCTGGGGTCAGAACAGGAAATGCAGATTGAGGCTGTGGGAAGCATCTGGATTTCAAACCTTATTGCCTGCTTGTGAAGTGCATCAGCAGTAAAAGGGTGGCACAGTCTCCCCATTCTCTATTTTTCTCCGTTGTCATATAGCCTCTTGTGACCCCTTGCAGACATCTGATTTGTCTTGTCTACCCCAAGTTTAAACTCACTTAAACTACTTACTTACAAAATCTTACTAGATATTTTAGTAATGTCTATCTGTTTGTTCAAGACCTCCTCCTGAACAGTAAGCGCTAGAACCACCAGATTTGGTATGCAGCTTCCTCTTATCATAACTTAAAGCAAGGTCAGGGTTGGGTTGAGGCAGGATAATGGGGTGTGCATGGATTTGATTTTCTCATAAAATGGAAAGGGTGGGGTTTGGCAGGAGGGAGTTATAATGCAAAATGACTACGGGGGACGGGGGGCAGAGGTGGAGACTAGGAGAGCTATAACTGCATTGGGCCAGCAGATAGCAAGGATGGAGAAAGGGTCACCTTTTATATATTTCAGTGTTTGTCTGTTCCCCAGCTGGGAGATATGCACACCACCTCACCATGGCTGTGCCCACTACAGCTGCAGCAGCCATGGACAGGTGCATCTCACCTGGCCCCAAACCGCTACGGTAAGAGTGGTCTGGGGTTGTCTACTCTCCTCAGGGCAGCCTGCATACTGAATTCCTCATCCCCAGCCCCACCCCAGAACAATGATTTAAAAGAAGAAAAACAAAACTTATTTGAGTTAAGGACCCAAGCAACGCTGAGTAAATCTTTTATCAGGCATAAAATACAGAAATGTCCCAGCATTTGCATTTATTACTGAAAAACTTCTTGCTTTTCATTTTTACCATATAATCATAAAATAAATCCACTGGACTATAAATACTGTACTTGCATTTCAGTGTGAAGCATACAGAGCAGCATAAACAAGCTTTATGAAATTTTAGCTTGTACTGACTTAGCTAGTGTTTTTCCTGCTGCCTCTTGTAAAAGTTGTCAGATATTCAGATGAGTTGATGTATTCGCTGTAAGTCCTGTGTGTATCCCAGGGGTATGCATAACACTGGTTGACTTGACTGATTGAGAGCCACAGTTGTAACCTGCTCCCTTTACCTCACCTCCGCCCAATTACCCTTTGGCCCGCCAGTCTTCCTCCCTGTACACCTGGGCTTGACTCCTTGCTTCCCCTGCCTCTAAGAAGGGCTCACTCTCCAGAGGAGCCCTTCACTCTTCAGCTCGCCTGCAGTTTTGTACTTTACACACGCTCCCTGGGCTGGGACAGGGCAAGGAGGCCCGGCCACGCATGCGTACTGGCTGTTCGGCAAACCCACGCTCCCTGGCGGCGGTCACTGCTGCTTGGGGCTGTTAGGGGCTGGGGAGGGGCGGGCTCAAGATTTAAAGGGGCCGCAGCCTCAGTGTGCGGAGGGAGATGGCCTGCAGGGTGAAGGATGAGTACCAGCGTTATTACACGGTCACGGAGCCGAGGAGCCACCCCAAGGGCCACACTGAGTACAAAGTGACAGCCAAGGTGAGGGGCAGCGCCTGGGACCTTCCCCAGGGAGCTGCGCGCGGCCCCTTTAAGGTGAAGGGCCCCTCCTGGGCAGCTGGGGCTGCCGATGCCCCATGGAAGGAGGGCGCCTCGCTCGCCCACCTTAAGGAGGGCGCACGGCGCGTGCAGGCGGGGTGGGACTTGTTCCCGATACTTTCCAGGGTGAGGGACACTGCGTAGCCGCTTTAAGAGGTGGGAAGTTGCGAGTGGTCCCCTCCGAGGCTCCGTTTTGGGGCGTCGTAGGTGTGGCCCTTTTAAGACGGAAGCGTCCTGCAGGGGGAGCCCTGGGTCCCGGGAAACCCGCGTGGGACGGTGCCGAGGCACGTGGATGTCCCAGGTCAAAGGCACGTCCCGTTAAATGCCCCCCACGCCCGTGGCTGGCCCCGGTGGGTGCCCTGCCTCCCCATCCCACGCGCTGTGGACATCACATTTCCCGCCTCCTAGCCTGATAGCGCCATGCCCTGCTGGTCCCTTCCTTTGCCCTGAACCTCCCCACTGCCACCTCCCGGCTCAGAAGTTGCTGACTCCTCCTCTCTTCCCTCCTTAGTTTGTTTCAAAGACGAAACCAGAAGATGTCAAGGAGGTGACTGTTTTAAACCCGTCTGATGGCTCGTGCAGGGGAGGGGTGCGAAGAAGGGGTGGGATGAAATCCATAGCCATCCCTCAGTGTAGAGTGTGTGGGGGGGTCCCCACTACCGGCTAGCCCACACTCACAGCTGCTCAGCAGTGATGGGAAAAGTCCCATAACTTGAGGTCTGATAGAGCTGAGTTTTGGGGACAGTTTTGGGGCTTTGAGTCCTATGGCAAAGGTTGTGGGGGCAGGGATCGTGTGACTGAAATCTGGGGGTGAAATTCCAGGGGCTTTGGAAGGCAGAAATCCAGGAGTTTGAAGTAGAAGTTCTATCTGGAAGGAGCTGGGTCCATAGATTTGGATTTGGAGGTTTGAGCTGAAGGGTTGCAGTTTGGGGGAAAAGCGGAGGGTCCCTGGGACTGTAGAAGCTGTGGGCTCAGCGCATGTCTGTGGCTAGTTAACTGGGGCACCTGGGGGGCTCTTGTCCTTCAGATCACAATCTGGAAACGTTACAGTGACTTCAAGAAGCTGCATGGAGACTTGTCCTACATCCACCGCAATCTCTTCCGGCGCATGGAGGAGTTCCCTGCCTTCCCCAAAGCCCAGGTCTTCGGTAAGTGGCTTCCCGAGAGGTGGGGGCTCAACAGCCAGACTCTTCTGGTTACTCCCAGAGCAGGAGCAGTGGCAGAGAGTGCTTCCCTCATTCCTCCCCCATGGTCAGCTCCCTCGTCCCCACAGTACAGCCCCCCTACCGCATAGCCTTTTCTGCTTCACAGTGCTCCACAGCATCCCATAATGTCTACCCACACATCCAGCGCCTTCTGCACAGTCCCCTTCTTCCCTTTCCCCAACAGCTCCCTTTCATGCCCCCAGCACCCTGCAACTTCCCATAGGTTCCCACACAGACTCAGAACTCTCTTACTGCCCCTACCACATACCCAGATGCCATCCCCTCCCCCTGACCCAGACACAGCAGTCTGAGTCCCCAACCCACCCCCAGAGACTGCTGGTGTGGGGCAGTTAGACCCACCCTTCAAGACGCTTCACACCCAGGTCACCAAATGAGCTGCAGATGGGAATGAGTCTAATTTATTGGGATCTCGGACTGGATCAGAGCTGGGAAAGGTCCCATATCTCATTTCCTGCCACCTGGAACCAATCCCCTGCCCTGGGGACAGATTAGAGCTGATGTCCCCACAGGGGAAAGGCAGTCATTGCTGGACATGCTGCAGGGGGCTCACACCAGATTCACAGGACAAGGGATGCATAGTGGATCATACCACATGAAGTGAATTGTGGTGGGATGTCCAGGCTTAAGGGTGGCAGAGCTGAAATGTACCATAGGGCTAGAGGGGGAGTGGCTGGTCTGCCTGGAGAGGCTAGATGGGTGCTGCATCACAGTGCAACAGGAGCTCTGTCCCGCAGGCCGCTTTGAGCCCGAGGTGATCGAGGAGCGCAGGAAAGCAGCTGAGGCCATGCTGAGATTCACGGTGCACATCCCTGCACTGAACAACAGCCCCCAACTCAAGGAGTTCTTCAGGGTATGTGAGTAGGGCTGGGCTGGGTGGGCTGAGAGGGCCCTAGGTGCTCTGGGGACACTGCTGATGCATCAGGCTGCTCACACACATGGTAGCATCATCAGGCCCACTCAGTTGCTCTACATACCCCTTGAAAAGCTTGGGCTGAGGAGATCCTCACCTCCCCAGCATACAGCAGAGACTCCTCTGAAAGGTGACAGTCAGGACTAAATGGGTTAGAATAGTGGGAGCTGGGAGTCCTGGGTTCTTCCCTCAGCTCTGGGAGGGATGCAGGACCTGGTGGGTTACAGTAAGTGAGGGGGGCTGGCTGGTATCTGGACATCTGGGTTCCCTTCCCGGTTCTGCCACTGACCTGCTGTGTGGTCCTGGGCAGGTCACTTCCCCCATGTGTGGCCTTCCTCCCTGCCGTGTGTGTGGGAGCATTCCTGACTGCTGCCAGTGGAGCAGCACAAGACCAATACCCCATCCCTGACCTCATGACCAGTCTAGCATCCCAAACCCCCGCTCCTCCTTCACTATGCTGCTTCCTTCCTCTAGGATGGGGAGATAAAGAGACCACTGGAGGCCTGTGACCTATGCATCCTGCCGCCCCCTCTGATCCCAGTGCCACAGGAGGGCACGGATATTGGGGATGATGCTCAGGGATCTGTAGCAGAGCTGGGACAGCATAGCCTGGAGCCCGATGGGGAGCCGGAGCCGCTTGATGGGGAACTGGAGCCGCACAGAGGGGAGCAAGTGGAACCACAGAAACCAGCGCCCCTGGGAGCTGTAAGGGCAGCATGCGAGGAGCACAACAGGGGAGATGGAGAGGAGACAGGTATGAGAATCCTGCTGTGGGTTTTGTAGGTTACAGCAGGGCAACCAGGAGTCAGGGTTCTGTCCCCATCTCTGGCAGAGGAGTCATGGAAGTTAGAGCAGGGACTGGGAATCAGGACTCCTGGCTTCTATCCCCAGCTGTGGGAGGGGGAGCCTGACCAAGTGATAAGAGCTGGGTTTTCTGGGTTCAGTTTCTGGCCCTGCCATGAGCGCCCAGTGTGACCTTGGGCAAATTACTTCCCCTTTGTGTGCTGCTCTTCCTCAGTCTGCAAAATGGGGACAATTATACTGATCAGCCTCTCCGCAGGGCTGTAAAGGGTTAATTAACTGCTGTGGGCAAAGCCCTTGACTTCCGCAGAGGAAAGGTACAAAAGAGGGGCAAAATATTATTGCTCCGTTAAATGTTGTGTTGTTCATCTGTGACATTTATATCATTTAACCCTGACCTTGGCTACTCAGACACACCAGCCTTGTGCTTATGGCACGGGGAGCAGGAAGGGAAACTGCTTTGAAACTCAGATGGCAAGAGATTTGAGCAATTCTTATTTATATTGTGGGAGGATGAAGGGCCCTCACTGCTGATACATCGGGCTGCTCACACACATGGTAGCACCAATGGCCCACTCAGTTGCTCTACATCCTCCTTGAAAAGCTTGGGCTGAGGAGATCCTTACCTCTCCAGTGTACAGCGGAGACTCCTCTGAAAGGTGGCTGGACTCACTGGTCTAGGGTGCACCACAGTAGGAGAATTTAGGTTTTACCTGAAGGATCCCCTCCCCTGTATTAGGACCCCATTATTACCAGGATTGCAGTGGCACTTACAGGCCCCAGGTGAGCTCAGGGCTCATTGTGTTACATGGTCCCAATCTGGAAGAGCTCACAGTCTAAATAGATAAAAGGTGGGAAACAGAGACGGAGGAACTTGCCCAAGGTCACCCAGTAGGTTGGTGGCACGCTGGGAATAGAACCCAGGAATCTTGAAGTCCCACCCTTGTTATTGGATCATGTTGAACTGACTAGCCCAGTGATCAGCTGTCTAAAGTGGCATTACTAAGGTCCATTTCCTGGCAGGGAGGACTGGAGGCTGGGATTGGGAATTAGGTCCCCAACTCCCATTGCATTTCGATATTTCACACCATTTACAAATTCAGCCTTGATCTCCATGAAGGATTTTGCCCTTTCCAAGAGCTTGGTTTCCAAGAGCACTGACTATCCGTGGCTCTGATTGGGGCAGCAGGCGCTTCAGAACTCTGGGCCTCCTCTGCAGACCAAAGAGCAGGATTAGGGGACAATGCACCATAGGCACATGACATTCAGCTGATTCGGGGGGATGAGTGATGATGCATCATGTGGGTGGTGGTGGTGGTGGTGGGGAATGAGAGGATTCTACCATTACAGCAGGCGAGTCAGGAGAAGGGAACAAAGAGCCATAGTCACAGCCCAGCACCAGGGAGGGAATGAACAAAAGGCAGCGCTGGGGCTCTGAGCCTCTAATGAAAGGCTCACTTTCAGTGCTCGCCTGTAAAGATTGTCAGATCTCAGGCTCTGTCCTGTCTCAGGCCCAGCCTAGATGCACTTAGCAGCATGATTCATGTGGTGGCGGTACCTAGAGGCTCCATTATGGTGTAAAACTGGAGTGTACAGGATCCAGAGACCCTGACCAAGATTGGGACTCCACTGAGGTACACAGCAGCAGCAGTAAGCTAATGCAATAGCAGCTAGAGATCCCAGCTGTGGTCGGGACCCCATTGTATGTGTGCATTCATACAATATTGGGTGTGCATTAATAGTATGGTCATATCAGAGGCCCCAGCTGAGATCAGGGTCTCTGTAGTATTACAGTAGTACCTGGAACCAGCTGAGATTTGCACCCCATTATAGCATGCTCATTACTAGTAGTCCCTACAGGCCCTATTATGAAATGTGCTTTATTATTAATAGTTCAGATTGTACCTCCCTGGTCCAGTACCCTCAGGACCTGATTGGTCCTGAACCATGAAATCTGCTGGATATGGGGAGATCAATGCTGGATCCTCTGCTTCTGCCAGCTGCGGGGCTCTGCTCCAGTGGCAGCAGAGGGGCCGGCATTAACAGAGCCGGTGTCTGGGGGGATGCTCAGGGGAAGAGGCAGGGTGGCTGTGGAGCTCAGGATGGCAGCCCTTCCAGTACCCTCAGGACCTGATTGGTCCTGAACCATGAAATCTGCTGGATATGGGGAGATCAATGCTGGATCCTCTGCTTCTGCCAGCTGCGGGGCTCTGCTCCAGTGGCAGCAGAGGGGCCGGCATTAACAGAGCCGGTGTCTGGGGGGATGCTCAGGGGAAGAGGCAGGGTGGCTGTGGAGCTCAGGATGGCAGCCCTGCAGATGTGCACTGAGCCCTGTGGCTGCTGGGCTACACTCCTTGCCCTCACCACCAGCCACAAGGCTGTGCTCTTGCCCTCCGGCTGTGGGGCTCCACAGCCACCCTGCCTCTTCCTCCAAGCATTCCCCCGGCCCCGCTATGACTCGGGTGGGCATGGTGTTAGTAGCGCCAACAAACCCAGTGAGCCAGTCCCTGCCCCAAACAGCTCTCACAGTGATTTTCCTGGCTGTACAGCAGGGGAAACTGAAGCCTTGAGAGCTAGATCCTCAGCTGATGGTGGAGCTGCTCCTTGGGCGGGTAGGAGATCTGGGGGTCCAGTCCAGACATCTGCACTTTCTCCTATGCTTTGTGCCTGGTTTACAGGGGATCCCACACCGGCTGCTAAATCAGAGGAGGATCTGGATCTACTCTTTGCCTCTGTGGAAGAGGAGAAGGAAAGTGGGTCGCCTCTCCATGGCCCTCTGTCTGTCCAGGACCTGGCCTTCTTTGACCCCTTCGTCAAGGAAGGTAGGAGGGGTTAGATGGGATGCAGGTCATTGCTAGGGGACATCAGCTCTGATCTAGTCTCAGCGTGGTCCCACTTGGGACTGGATCAGAACTGGCGTCCATTGGCTGGATGCAGAAGTGGGGCATAGAGCCTAGGCGGGGTCAGGCCACTTGGCGGGTGCGGTGGTGGGAAGCTGGCCCTGGTACTTCCATACTGGGAGGGAGGAAATGGAGGGTTTTGGTCTCATGAAGCAGGCATGGGGTCCCTGCTCCCTTCTAACATGCCCCCCACACACACACTGTGCTTTCAGAGCAATGCTCGACCAGCCCTTTCCAGGGGGCCACGTTGGCCGTGGGATCAGAGCTGCTCCCCAGCCAGGACATTGAGCTGGCAGCTGATGCCCTGTGGGACCTGCAGATCTCTCAGCCTGCGGAGCAGGAGGCAATACAGGGACTGGACCCTGGAGGATACCTGGCAGTGGCCACAGAGGAGATCACACTGGCCTTGAAGAGAGAAGCAGCCAGAGACTACGCAGCTGAAGGGGGTGCAGGGTGCGGGGCCAGGGTAGGGGACCTCATTGATAAACTGGTATCCTTCTTAGCACAGAGGGGAAAGTGAGGCACAGAGATGATTAGTGACATCACCCACATAACATGGAGGCTGCCAGAGCAGAATGCAGGAATCCTGGCTCCCAGCCCTCTGCTATAACCATTGGACTCCTCTCCCCTCGCCTGGCATCCAGCCCAGGAGTTCTGACTCTCAGCTGCCTCCTGTGCTTTCACAGGTGTGACTATTACAGCAGCTAGTAGCCCCTTCAGTGCCTGGGCCTGTGGGCAGTGTCACGGGGTCCTCCCTCCATTTCCCGCACAGAGCGAGTCACAGGCCTCGATTCCATCAGGCTTGAATTGGCCCGGTCTGTCAGGGGCGCCGAAATCACCCTACACAGGGCGACTCTCCCAAGCTGTGGTGGCACAGCCCTCCCCACATTGCAGCAGGAAACCAGCAGCCAATGCGCTTGCTCGCAGGAATGAGACTGATCCAGCCATTGGCTGGTTCAGTGAGCTCTATTCTTACCCTTCGTGGCATAGGTAGAGCCAGTGGGTCCCTCCCTATTGCTGGCCAGCCAAATATATCCCAGCTGCCTGCCCAGCCAGGCCTTTGACCCGTGCTGCCCCTCAGAAATGGCCTGATTCTCCTCCTGCTGCTGCACATAACAAGCAGCCTGGCCTGCAGGAGCAAGCTGCTGCTTGTGATGTGTGTAGACAGCAGCAGATGGCGCCAGAGAGCCTCTGCTTGCAGCACCAAGTGGGCCTGAGTGCTAGTGGAAATGGGGGTTGTCCCCATATCCACAGGGGGGGCTGCTGCCTGGACTGACCCTGGAGATCTAGATGTGGTTAGATGCAGTTTTCATAAGTTCCCACATTCCAGCCAGACAAATAGAAAGGCCCCAGAGTTCAACTGGGCCTCCCTTCTGTTGGTCCGAACGAATAGTGAGGCTACACTGGCCTCTGCAGTCCTGGATCTGGACCGTGGTGCATTAGGTGCTGCACAAACAAAGAACAGACAGTCCCTGCCCCAAAGAACTCCCCATTGAGGACAGATATTGCAAAGGAGCCAGCCGCCCTCAGCTTGCTGCCAGAAGGGAGGAAGAGCCAGGTTACCCAAGGTGTGAGATTTTCCCTTTGCCAGGGCTCCCTTTCCTCTCTAGCTCAAGCACAGATTTTGCTGGAGCTTTTTGACTATCTTTTCCCATCCTCGTTCCTTAGTGGACCCTTTATTTCTGCAGGGGTTTGCAAATTAACATAGGGTACTTCACAGCTTCTTGGATCCACACCATGTCTAGTCTGGGCTACTGTGGCAAATAGAGCAGAGTAAAGAACAGACCCACAGATGCTTTCTCGAGATGTCACCGGCTGTGTCTAGGCTGGCAAGTTTTTCCGCAAAATCATATGATTTTGCAGAAAAACGTGCCAGCTGTCTACACTGGCCGCTTGAATTTCCGGAAAAGCACTGACGATCTCATGTAAGATAGTCAGTGCTTTTCCGGAAATACTATGCTGCTCCCATTTGGGCAAAAGTCTTTTTCCAAAATACTTTTGCGCAAAAGGGCCAGTGTAAACAGCACAGTAGTGTTTTCCGCAAAAAAGCTCCAATCGTGAAAATGTCGATTGGGGATTTTTTGCGGAAAAGCGCATCTAGATTGACCACGGATGCTTTTCTGCAAAAAGTGCTTTTGTGGAAAAGCATCCTGCCAATCTAGATATGCTTTTCCGAAAATGCTTTTAACGGAAAACTTTTCCATTAAAAGCATTTTCGGAAAATCATGCCAGTGTAGATGTAGCCACCAAGTTTGCAGGAGTAGGTCATGGTCCTGAAATCCCTGATCCTCAGCCCAGACAACTGCCAGTCTTTTGGGACTGGCTGACATAATGCTGAGACATGAACTTCTGCCCACCATTCTGCAAGAGCAGGTCTTCCCTGCAGAGTTAACTGTGTCTGCCTGTGAATTCTCTTGGGTTAGCCTAGCCTCCGCTGATGTCTGTCCCCACAGCTGGGAAGTGCTGAGATTTTGGGGGACATCTTAGCGCTGCAACAAACTGAGTGGCTCTGATTCCAGTGAACTGGGGAAAGAGGCTTTCTGTGCTTTGGGGGCACACGGATGGGGATGCATTAGGGGAACGCACTGAAGGATGAGCTGCCTTCAAGCAGCACTAGCAGGCAGTCACACTGTAATTTTGCTATGCAAGCAGTTCATGAGATTCACTTACACTGCCTCGAGCCCATCTGGGGCCCACCAGCCTGAGTTAAAGCCACTCCCCACTTGCATTATTTCTGCAGCTGAAGACAAGTCCTCCACGGATGGGGATGCATTAGGGGAACGCACTGAAGGATGAGCTGCCTTCAAGCAGCACTAGCAGGCAGTCACACTGTAATTTTGCTATGCAAGCAGTTCATGAGATTCACTTACACTGCCTCGAGCCCATCTGGGGCCCACCAGCCTGAGTTAAAGCCACTCCCCACTTGCATTATTTCTGCAGCTGAAGACAAGTCCTCAGTGTCATAAGTTTCACTGCAGGAGGAGCTGGCTAGCACCATTGCTCAATGCAGAGAGCCAGCTCGTTGCTTGCAGTCATGGGCCCATCTGTGCCTTTCTCCTCTCCCTGCCCAGGAGACCCTGATCCCACCCGCCGGGAAGCAGTGAAGAAGAAGACGGCCGAGTATCTACACCGGGCAGAAGAGCTCGTTCAGCTGCATTTGACTCATCTCCAGCCATGATCTACGTGCCAGGCTGGGATCTGAACCTCAAACTGCCTTTGCAAGGAGCTCTAGGACCAACACATTCACACATCAGTGACTTACCTGCAGCCCTTCCCTCATGTCCCCCCTGGGCTTAGAAGCAAGACTACAGCCCTCAGCTAGAAACACACCACATACACACCTCTCTGGTTTGCTGTAGCACAGGGCTGTATGGTGAAGGGAACCTTTCTCTTCACTACTAAAGATGTTTGTCTCAACAGCAGCTCTACAGACAGTGGGTGATTCTTCTTCTGACTATTCAAAGCACAAGACAAGGGGACAGTCTGGAAGCTCCTAGCTATTTGCAAAGGGGAGCAAGCACAGAGGGAGAAGTCAGCACCCCTGCTTTGCAGAAATGGAGGCACAGAGACACATGCCTCTCCCAAACTGGTGGCAAAGCTGGAAGTAGAACCCAGCAGACCAGGCACCTAGCGCCCTCTTGTTCTAATTCTCTAGACTCTAGCCCTCACTCCCCTCCCAGAGCAGGTAATAGAAGCCAGGTGTCCTGACTCCCAGACCCCACTCTGCTCCGTAGCTCCCCTCTCTTCTTAGAGCAGGATACAGGAGATCAGGGACTTGCACATGGGAACATAATGCTCTTCCTTCAGACAGCAGCAAGTCCTGTATCCTCTGTTGCAGCCACTCGAGGGGTGGAGGAAAGGAGAAGAGGGGATTGGAACACCGAGGACGCTGTGTAGCTTGTTGGCCAAGCCCACTGTACACATCAGGGGCTCCTTGCCCTCCATTCTCCCCCACAGCTACCTGGGCACAGCCCTCACTTCCCTCAGGGGATGTTTCCCAAGGATGCCAGAGCAGCAAGGCATCTCACTGCTACCTGCCCTTGGCCTGAGGGGGTCTTCTGGAGCATCCCCCTGACTCCTGCAGCACAAGCCCAGCCTCTGCTGGCCTCCCTCTCTCTGTACAGCTGAGCCCTAGGCAAACACTCATCCCAAGTCCTCCTCCTGTCACCCTGGAGTGCCCAGCCTCTGACCCACTGTGCTCAGTTTCATCATGCCCACAGGAACCACACATGTCAATTTCCAAGAGACAGCTCCACCTTCCTGCACCGCTGAACACCCAGCACTTAACCAGAGGGAAAACCAACCACTTTATAAACAGAGAAGAGAGGCTCCAATGTCGGACGGGAAGAACACTGGAAACAAGTGGTTACATAGAAAACAAGGTTATCATATGCCTACAACTTACAAGATGTTACCCCATTTCCTGTAGAACAGCTTGCCCTATGTCCTTCTCCCATCTTTTTCAGCCAGCATGGTTGAGATCCCCTTTCATAAGCTCAAGCACTCTGTCAGCCTGTCTTCGGAGACTGAGGGATTCCAGGGCCTTTTGCTGCACCTTTAGAAATACCAAACTAAACATTGGAGCTTGGTCTGAAAACAGGGATCTCATCTGTTCCTGCTCCAGCATTTCCCTCTTCCTGTTAGTTTCCATCTGGAGATTCCAGGAGCACCTCAGTTGATTCAGTGTGTTAGCAGCCTTCTCCTGGGAGACACCATTGGCCCCCAAGGAGATAAGTGCCTAACATGCTGCTTTGAGTGCCCTGCCTTTAACTGCAAGGCCTAGAGAACACAATTTGCAGCAGAGCCACAACTCCTCACATTTTCCATCTGTCTCACTTCTACTAGAGACCTTTTTGGTGACCTCTGGGGTGCCTGTATCCCTGTGTACCACTCTACTCTCTGCCAGTTGGCAGCAAAAGGCCTTTGGGCTACAACCCTTTATTTGAAGGACTCATGGTAACTTCCCTCACACCTGTCTCCAAGCCTAGTGCTCTGTGTGTCCCCTTTTGCTTTTCTCCCACACCAGAATATGTGCATGTCCTCCATTGCCCTCTCTCCCCTATGGCAGGGATTCTATGTGCCTTCCATTTCCCACAATCCAGGGTTTCTATGTGCCCCCTTTCTCCTCTCCCTCCCCCCATACCAGGGTTCACCATATCACCCTCATTCCCCCTTTCCTTTGCACTAAAGTCTTACAGATTTATCCTATTGCCATGACTAACCCCACTCTCCTTCATCAGTCAGTCACTCTACAGCTGGATTAGCAGTGCTCATCTACATATAAGGCTCTTAGCCCCACCCTCCACTGAGATAAAGCCTGCCAATGGGTGGGACTTAATCTATAAAACCCCATCCTCCTTCTTGAGTCTACCCATCAAACACAGCTTTCAGTTCAGAGAAGCAGGTGAGCCTTACCCAGAGATGGGGAAATGTTCAATGGGATGTGCTTGTTCTGGGAGAGAAAGAGAAGAGGGAAAATTATTTACTTCAGGGTTTTTAATCTTAACTGTTAGGAGAATCTTTTGGGCTGTCTCACTGCCTTGCTTGGGTAATACCCAAGTTCTCTGTGTTTCACCTGGTCCACACAATGACTAAGAGTTTACTACTACTGCTGCCTGCTAATGACATTTTTCTTGTGGCTTTTCTGGGAGAGGCCTGTGCTGCTTGCATTGAAGGGCCTGAATTCAGTCCTCCTTCTGCTGACTGTGGCTACCATATAGAGTAGGACTGGATAGAGCCTTTCCATGAGGTTTTGTGGTTAAGGCCCCATGGCTGGGACTCCAAAGACCTAGATTTGATCCCTGTGCTGTCAGACTCCAAGCGTGACTGGGCAAGTCACTTACCATTCCCCTACCTCAGTTGCAGAATGCTAGCAGGGTCTATCTTTTAATGTTTCTGAGGCTTGTAACTACTCTGATGGGTTCTTGCAGCTGGAGAGAGCTGACAGTTCTGGAGAGCTGCTGTTTGTTGGATGCTCTTAACGTGAAATAAAAAACTCAGGAATCCTGTCTCTTCCCTCTCCCTCCGCCCACCCCCGAGTCGCTCCCAGAGATGGTACTAGAACCCAAGAGACCTGACTCTCTGGCCTCCTCCCAATCCTGGAAAAAGAGTCCAGGAACCCTAGATTCCTGCCCCATTTATACTGCTGTCTGCTCCCAACAGGCATGACCTTAGGGCAAGCCAATTGCCAGGGCCCCATGCTGTTTGGTGTGTGCCCGCCTGGCCACTTACTGCCCTGGCAGCCACTCAGCCATGCCGCACAGCCAACCACAGTGTGCCACCTTGGGCCCTGCAAACCCTTTGGCTGAGTCTGGCTCCCAATGCTGGGAATAGAACCTAGGCGTTCAGAGCCTGTTACTGTAACCACGTGTGCATCTAGACAGCACCCTTCTGTCAGAATAAACTAAGCAATTTGCATAGCTTACTCAGTCTAAATTGAAAGAGCTTATTTTGAAATTTGGCACTGTCTACACAGCGCCAAATTTCAAAATAAGGCACTATTCCAACAAATCCCTTAACCCTCGTGGAACGAAGGTTACAGGGACGCCGGAATAACACACCTGCTATTTCGGGAAATAGTGGGAGCTTTTAAAGATGCAGCATTGCTATTTTGGGTACTTCCGGTATCCTGGAAGAACAACACAGTCTACCCCACTAGTCCTGCAGTCCCCTCCCAAAGCCAGGAGTAGAATCCAGGAGTCAAATCATGTTATATGTATTTTGCCTTTAAGTTTTCTGCCCATCATGTGTCTGAGAGACTGCTGGGGAGGTGTGGGTCAATGGAGAAAAATCTCTGATTATTCAGTGTCCTGGGGTATGGCTGCAGCCTGGATTTAGGGCTTTCTTGAAATTGTAGGTGAAATTTGCTCAGAATGTGAAGGAGTATGGGTCTGATCCTATAATGTCTGCACACAGCCTGTGGGACTCTCATTGCCGCAAGGTCTCACTGAAGCCAAGTTAGATTCAGCCCAGGATTGGCTGATCTGAATGAGAACATCCAGAGCAAAGATTAAAATGTCACCTAGGCTATGGGAAGGGGCAGAAATCGTGCTTCAGGGCAGGAGCTCACTTGTGATGAATGGGTGTCAGGAGGAATCTGCCCCTGCGACTCGCTTATGCCATTGCTGAAGGCTCCTTCACCTGCCGTTCGAGCAGCTGAGACTGGCAGCTCTGGGAGCAGGGATACCGGGCTAAGCGGGGATGTGGTGCCCTCGCCCTAAAGGCTGGGGAGGGAGCCCCCTTCCCTGCTCCCAACTGCAAAGCGCTTTGCAAGCAGCAGGGGGACAAAGCGCCCAGCTGCCAGCCTGAGAGCGACGGAGGCACAAAGCGCGCAGGGCTCCCAGCGTCGCGGGGACATAGAACCCAGGAGTCCTGGCTCGCGGGGACCCCGCCAGGGACAGAACGCAGACGTTGGGACTCACGCCCCGCCCCCCAACGGACTAGCCAGCAGCCCATCCCGCCCTCAGCCCTGCACGGCAGCGATTGGTTGGTCATATCACGTGCTGACGGGCGGTTTGCCTGGGCAGGCGGAAACAGCCTCTGGCGCAGTGCATTGTGGGGGAATCCGATGCAAGCCCCTTGTGGGGAGGAGCAACTGGGTTCTGGCAGTGGGCAGGGCTACTGGTGAGGGGGGGGTCAAGACTCCTGGGTTCTGGCTCTGGGCAGGGCTACTGGTGGGGGGGGGTCAAGACTCCTGGGTTCTGGCTCTGGGCAGGGCTACTGGTGGGGGGGGGGTCAAGACTTCTGGGGTCTGGCTCTGGGCAGGGCTACTGGTGGGGGGGGGTCAAGACTCCTGGGTTCTGGCTCTGGCGACTGGTGGGGGGGGGTCAAGACTCCTGGGTTCTGGCTCTGGGCAGGGCTGTGGGGCTGCTGGTGAGAGGGGCTGTGACTCCTGGGTTCTGTTCCTGACACTGGGTAAGGCTGTGGGAGGCAGATATAATTTGGGTGCTGCTGGGATTGGTCCAATTCTCCCCCAGGAACAGCCCTGACCTCCAAGTCTTTTCCTAGGTCCACCACCTACCAGGCTCCACAAGGAGGGGCCCATACCTCGGACCTGCCACTCCTCAGAGACCCCACAGGGGGGGCCTGATCCCTCCTCATCTTGCCTCACACACTGTGGGGCCCCAATCCCCCCTTAGATCCTCATACTCTCTCTGTCTCTGTGCAGGTGGCTGGCCAATGGGGGGTTCAGATGAGTTCCTGGTGGGCACGTGCCCAAGGATGTGCCCACAGAGTGAACTGACACAGCGTGAGCGCCAGGGCCGCCTGCACCGGCTGGAGCTGCAGGAAGGGACGCGACAGGGGGACCCTGACCGTGTGGTAAAGGAGTATTCCCGTCCAGCTGCTGGCAAGGAGCTGCCCCGGCCCCAGGAGCTGCGCCCTGCCCCAGTGCTGCTGACCACTGTGCGCTACCTACTGGGCCAGGTGACATCGCGAGCTGACCTGCCCCCAGCTGAGGTCTATGCTTTTGTCTCTGACCGGTTACGTGCTGTGCGCCAGGATGCCACGCTGCAGCGGCTACAGGGGGCTCCGTGTGTGGCCCTGCTGGAGAGATCATTGGGCTACCTGCTCCATGCTGGCTACCGGCTGTGCCAGGAACCCCCTGCCCACTTTGACCCCCACCTCCACAGCACTCAGCTCCAGGAGTGCTTCAGCTGGCTGCGGCGCTGCTATCGAGACAGCTGTCACGACAGGGAGCCAGCCTTCCAGGCCCTTTTCCTCCTCTACAACCTGGGTAAGCAGCACTAGGGGGCCCTGTGCTGCAGGGAGCAGAAGTGGGTACTGCTTCAGGGAGCAATGTGGAAGGAGTAGAGGGGGCCCATTGTGCTGCACGCAGAAGGGGGGCCCTTGCGAAACAGGGGCTGTACTCAGGCCTAGTTCATTTCTCAGTTGGGCGTGCTGTTCTTATGCATAGCTCAGTAGGGAGCACTGTGCTTCAGAGAGTAGGACATGTTGGCCAGCAGGGGGTACTGCGATGCAAGGAGTAGAGTGTTGGCGTGGGAGAGGGCAGTTAGTGCTGAGCCCAGTGCAGTGCCAGAGGATCCTGTGCTCCAGGGAGCAAGGTGGATAGATCAGTGGGGGATCCTGAGCTCCTGTCCCTCTGCAGCCCAGGAGTGGGTGCTGTGCTGCAGGGAGGAGAACAAGGTCTCCGTAGGAGGCACTGCTGCAAAGGGCAACACAGAGGGCTCGATAGAAGGAACTGTGCTGCAGTGGGTGCCACGGGCTCAGTTGTGGGTGCCGTGTCGGGAGCAGGATGGGATCTCAGTAGAGGGCATAGTGCTGCATGAGATGGCATTGAGGGCTCATTAGGGGTTGCTGGGCTGCAGAAACAGTGCAGGGGGCTCAGTATAGGGAGACGGACACAGGGAGAGGCATGTGGTGGGGGAGGGGCACTGTGCTGCAGGGAGCTGCTTCCCAGAAGCGCTGCGCCAGATCCTGCAGCTCCCAGACCCTGTCCGGGCCTCCCCTGAACTCCGCACAGCACTGGCTGTCAACTGGGCTTACCTGGAGCGTGACTGGGCCAGGTTTTTCCGCCTGGTGCGGGCTCTGCCTTACCTGCCAAGCTGTGCCCTCCATCGGCACTTGGGCCCTGCCCGGCGCTTGGCACTGCTCACCTTTAGCCATGGCTTCAGTGCCAAGAACTGCCGCTGCCCCCTGGCCTGGCTTGCCCAGCTGCTGGCACTGGACAGCCCTGAGGAGATGGAGGAGCTGTGCTATGATCATGGGATCACAATGCTGGATGGAGCCGTGGTCTTCCAGAAAGCAGATTTCAGGGACCCCAGTGTACTAGTCCACAGCCACTCACAGCTGCTAGTGGACAGTAAACGAGGGGAGGTCCCCCTGCTAGAGATCATTGAAGATGCCTGTAGCTAATGATCTGGAGAGACTTGGGGTGGGCGTTGGAAGCCAGGACTCCTGAGTTCCTTGCTTTGGGAGGGGTGTGGGGTCTGGGTTGGACTGGATTGGGATTCAGGACTTGTGGGTTTTATTGCTGTCTCTGGGAAAGGCTGAGAAGGAGGGCTAGGCTCCTGGCTTCTGTTTCTCTGACTGTCAGTGAGTGTCTGTGTGTCCCCTCTGCCAAGCCACTCCCTTTGCCTCATTTTCTCCCTGCATAAAAGGGGGCTAAAGGAAGTCACTTACTTGTGTCTAGTGCAACTGGATGGTTCTGGATGATCTCTCTCTGTTGATGGGCTCAGCTTCCTACATTGGACTTCCTTGTGCTGAATCATTTGCCTTAGTCCCCTCTCCATGGTTTGTGATTCAGGAAACTGTATCAGATCTTGGTGTTTATGGGAGTTAATTTGGCTCTGGTGTTTTGGTGTGAGGATTTGAAGTCCCTTATCCACATGGTGGAGAACTGTAAAGAATGGCAGCCAGTGTGCCCTGCTCTAGCTGGGATGCAGGGCACAGCCCAGAGCCCCCTAGAATTATGGACTGGAGTAGAAGTAAGCTTTTCAATAAATGTTGGCTTGTAAGAGGTTGTGGGCCTTTGTGAAGTGGCAGATTAGCCAGTGGGGTCACCAGGCTCATGCTCAGGGTCCCTGGCCAATTGAGGAGCCCTGCCCCCAACAGACAAGCACTGGGAGAGGGGAAATCTTTGTGCCCCAACCCTGTTCCCTGGCAGCAACACTTGGCAGGCAGGAGAAGCCCTTGTGCCCTGACCCTGTTCCATGCTCCAGTGTTCAGACCCCATCTGTGGGCCCCGGCACCGGAGAAGCTCTGACTTCCACTCCTGGCCGTGGCCCCAGGGTCCTGAGGGGAGGGAGGAGGGACACAACACTTCCTTGGTCTTGGGGCTACAGTGCAGAGGGGCAGAAAGGAGCAATGGGGCCTGCAGTTATGAGGGAGGAATGAGGTGGGTTCAAGGGTACAACAGGGGCAGAAGGTGTGAGGTTGTGGGCGGGGCTGCAGGTGGAAGGTGTGGGGAGCAGGCCCCCTGCTTGCTCTGGTCCAGTGCCCCCAGGAAACCTTGATGCACCTGTGTGGTGTGGGTCTGCCATGCTGGAGTGTTGTGTTAATGTCTAGGGGAAGTGAGTGTGTGGTACTGTGAGATGGAATGTGGGGGGAAGTGAGTAAATCACTGAGGATTCATGGTGGGTTGTGTTTGTCCAGAGGGGTTGTGTGTGTTCATTGTATGTGGGAAGTCGTGTCAATGGGGGATGAGTTATGTGAGGTTTCACAGGTGAGGGCAGGGACAATGCTTGGTATGGGCCTGGTGCTAGTGCTCCACCAATATGAGACCCCAGGGGCCCAGCTCCACAAAAGTTTGGGTCTGGGTCTCTTCTGTGGTCCTGCTTGTCACATCCACACAACTTACCTGCTGCTCCCCCTGATCTCGCATGTTGCCCCCAGACAATTTAGCAGCGCAGTAGAGCTAATGCGGCTTCCTGCTTACTCTGCACTGCTTCCCAATCTGACAATGGTTGCTAGCACAGCCCCTGGGTGGAACTGGATGTGTCTCTGCATATTGCCCCTGCCCCAAGTGCCTCTGTGGCTAATGGGAGCTGTGGAGACAGTGCCTGTGGGCAGCGGCTTGTGGAGATCCCTTGGCCCCCTCATCTAGGAGCTATTGCCAGAAGGGGTGAGGGTCCAAGGAGCTGCCTCAGGTAAACACAGCAATCCTCACCCGTTCTGGTATCTCAAGCCTGTATCCCAGTCCCCTGCCCCAGCCCAGAGCCTGCACTCCCTTCCATACCCAAACTCCTTTCCAGAGCCTGCACCCCAATTCCCTGCCACAGCCCAGAGTCCGCACCCAGCACCTAAACTCCATCCCAGAGCCTGCACCCCTTCACAAACCTGAACTCCCTTCCAGAGCCTAACTCCTCACCAGCAGACCCTGTAAGCTGTGTGGTTGGGTGACTACCTAGGAGAGGTTCAAATTGCCACCCAACTGATTATTAGAGCGTCCACATCTATATTTGTGTCTCTATTGGTGGTGCACATGCCTCAGTGCACATAACACTTATTCTGCACACAAGTGTAAAAAATTATAGGGAACTTTGCCTTCACTCCTCCTGCACTCTAGCACCCTTCCATAGCCTACTCCCCATGCACCCCAATCTCCTGCCTGCACCTAGCAGCCAAACTCCCTCACAGTGCCTTAGGCAGGTAGAGACAGCAGAACTTGGACCTGTTCTGGGCACCACCAAAAATTCTACAAATATTGCCACCATTGGTGAGGGCTTTGTGAGGCTCTGTGTGTGTGAGAGAGAAAATTGGGAGTTTGGAATGGGGTTTGTTCGTGGTGTCTGAGGGTTGGGACATGCACACATCCCTTGCACATTGCCAGAAGATAAGGTAGAAATAAATGGTAAATTTTCAGAATGGAGAGAGGTAACTAGTGATGTCCCCCCAGGGTCCATGATGGGACCAATCTTATTCAACCTATTTATAAATGATCCAAAGAAAGGGGTAAACAGTGAGGTGGCAAAATTTGCAGATGATACTAAACTGCTAAAGATAGTTAAGACCAAAGCAGACTGTGAAGAGCTTCAAAAAGATCTCACCAAACTAAGTGATTGGGCAACAGATGTGATTGCCTCATCTCAAAAAAGATATATTGCCATTGGAAAAGGTTCAGAAAAGGGCAAAAAAAATGATTAGGGGTTTGGAACAGGTCCCATATGAAGAGAGATTAAAAAGACCGGGACTTTTAATCTTAGAAAAGAGGAGACTAGAGGAGGATATGATAAAGGTCTATAAAATCATGACTGGTGTGGAAAAAGTGAATAAGGAAAAGTTATTTACTTGTTCCCATAACTTAAGAACTAGCAGTCACCAAATGAAATTAATAGGCAGCAAGTTTAAAACAAACAAAAGGAAGTTTTTCTTCACACAGGGCACGGTCAGCCTGTGGAACTCCTTGCCAAAGGAGGTTGTGAAGACCAAGACATTAACAGGGTTCATGAATGAATTAAACTCATGGAGGTTGGGTCCTTCAATGGCTGTTAGCCAGGGTGGGTAGGAATGGTGTCCCTTGCCTCTGTCAGAAGCTATGAATGGGTGACAGGAGAGGGATTATTTGATGAATCCCAGTTCTGTTCACTCCCTCTGGGGTATCTGGCATTGGCCACTGTCAGAAGACAGGACACTGAGCTAGATGGACCTTTGTTCTGCCCTGGGCTTCATTTGCAAGTTCAAATGCCTACATTAGCTACCCTAGTTCGAACTAGGGGGCTAGTGTAGACATACCCTTAGGGATTAGAATGAGGGGAAGGGAGGGGAGGGCAAGGCTGGGAGCCAGCACTCCTAGGTTTTATTCCCAGCTCTGGGGATAGGAATCTAAAATCTGGGAGGATTGAAAGCAGTGATGGCAACCCAGGTTAGTGAGTGGGCTGCATGAGTGGCCCTCCTTCATCTCAGTGGGGTCACAAGATTGTCGTAACCAAGACAGGCTCCCAGGATAGTTTTGCTAACCTCTTGCATACCTAGAATTTGCAGGATGTGCTGGTTGAACTGTGGCAGCACTTTGATTGCCTGCAGAGGGAGCGCAGGGCTTTCACAGTCAGTGTGTACAATCAGCAGGCACCTCACTTACCGTGCCCTTGCTTTATGTGCGTGCCACTTTAGTAATACTGGTAGGGGGGAAAAACTATGAGGACAGAAACCAGCAGAATCTGGCAGCCCTGTGCATGAGCAATGGTAAATAAAATGTCTTGTGGGCCCCACATAGAACCCCGATGGGCCACAGGTCGCCCACCACTGTTTTAAAGAGAACTGGTTTTCTGAGACTGAAGCCTGGAGGTCTGCTTGTGTGGAATTGTGGGGGGCAATGCACCCTGCCAGGCTGCCCACCAGAAGCATGATTAGAAACCAGGAAAAAGACCCCCATGCCTAGGTTGTTGGTTGGGCTAGAAGCTTTTCCTTGGTGCTTTGTTCCTGTGGTTCAGTAATCCCTGGGTTTGATAAGGGAACTTAGGGGTGGCTGTACTCACAGTCACAGGCACCCATAGGGAAGATCTGCTTGTGCCTGAACCCGGCAGGTGGGGCATGGGCCCAGTTTGTACCCCAACACCCAGGCCAAGAGCAGGAGAATCTTCCCTGGAAAGGCAAAGTTCGGAGACCTGAGGAGGATGTGCACTGAGACACACAAAAGGGGTGCCACCGACCGTGTAACTAGGACAGCCTTTGTCCCAGTCTCCATTCTCTGATTCAGCCTGTCTGCCCTAGTGCCAGGTATGAGCTAGTGTCCCATATAGAGGAAAGATCCTATAGCCCATTCCCTACTCTGCTGAGCCAGGCAGTCCCCCTGACCCGGATGAAAGCCAGCACCTTCTAGAGGCAAAATGTGCTGCATCCCATTCCCAGGCCTCCGGTGCCAGCCAATACCCCACTTGAACCAGACCGGAACTAGCACCATCTAGATAGGGGGAAAAAACACCATGTTCCATTCCCAGGCACCTTCGTGTATCCCCAGAATGGGTGGGGGATGTCTATAACTCAGAATTCGACAGCCTGAGAATATGGATTGTATTTATTTCCCTCCAAGGTGCCTCTCCCTCCCTCCCCTTTATGGTGTCCAATTAAATCTTAAAACAGCCCAGGCAAACACGCAGAAGCCTCTCAAGAGGAACTGGAGGCCCACGTTCTCACGGGGCCCAGCTAGGACTGATAAGCTGGGACCTTCCAGCCCCTGGGAAATTCCTGCCTGTGATGTGTGTGACAGGATAAGTGACAGATCCTCAGGTAATGGATGAGGGGCCTGTCTCTCCTGGGAGATTTATGCATCCGCTTATCTGGAATTTTTATTGGGCTGGGGAATTTTGTCATCAGAGCAGGTAACTTTGTTCTGCAATGACCCAGATGGGCCATGTCTGCCCTATAAGGGGGTGTTCCAGGGATTAGCTGCTGGCCTGAAACTCAGGGCAGCTGAATTTCAACTCCTGGTTCTGGCAAATTCCCTGGGTGATTGTCCCCTCTGTGACTCAGGTTGCCTGTCTGACAAATGGGAAGAATAATCCTGCCTTTGCCATGACTGCAAACTCTTCAGGGCAGGGTCTGTGTCTGTGCAGTGCCTGGCCCAACGGGGACCCCAGTC